AAATAGTATGAGATTTTCACCAAAATTAATCATTGTATTTGTGGCACTTATGAGGTCTCACCAGAAGTCTATTGACATTATATTAATTGATTTTTGAGGCTTCAATTAGCATTGATTAAATGAATTGAGAAAATAGGGGAACAAATAATGCGATTAAAAGCCATTTCAATAATGTTTGCCCTATCATCCTATCTGTCATTTGCAAACAAAGACATTAGTTTCAAGTATTTAATCAAATAGCTATTATTAGAGCGACAAATTATCATGAAATTTTGGGTTTTATGGCAAATAATTGCATTCAAACATCGCCTTTGAGTTCATCACACTTTGGTCTCTTCGAGTTGTATTCACTTTTCATATCTTTCGTGGACTTTATATTTCAATTGAAGTTTATTTAACTTTTTTCGTATTATATCATTATTTTTTTGTACTCTTATTACTTGTAAATTATTTATAAACTTAGTGAGTTAGACAAAGTGTTATAACAATTATACTGTATTTGTTATATTAATATAACCTAAAATTTACATTAAGTAAAGTAGATGATTACGTTGTATTAGATTGTAATCAGAAACCAAATGACACAATTATATACTATGTCCAAAATTACTTTCAGTGTTAAATAAATAGTAATATATGAAAAATGAACATTCATAATTAAAAACAAATACAATATTTAACTTGATTATTATTATGTAGATAATTATCACTTATTTTGATGAGATATAAATACTGTATTTAGCACTGAATTTGTACTGAATTCAAACTATTTGAGCAAAAATTTACAAAATGAACAACACTGTCGAAACAAAAAACAATATATTTTTATTAGAAACCATTTCAAGACATATCAGTAGCATGTTAAATTCTAAAAAATGTTTGTTTGAATTGTCATTTTAAAAAACAAAAGTATTCAATCGTTTATCTAAATAATATGATAAGTAATGTACAGATTCTATACTAATAATTGTGCTGTCATTCAGTCATTCAATGAACAAATATAAATTTGTTTTTATGTTTGTTTGTTATAAAATGCATTTTGAAACCAATTGAAATGTTATGTTTATATAACCGTAACTTTTACTACAGTTGTATTTCCCTGAAAATGCAATAAATGAACGAAAAATTTATAGAAATATACAATTAATTTAATTTAACGCTAACTCTATTCCCAAAGGGTTTTGATATATGATATCTGAATCCACTCACGAATTCATAATTACTTTTTGGGGATAAAAATGTTATACAAGAGATACATAAATAATAAAAGCAATCGATTTGACCACAAAAACACACACACAAAATTACTGTATAATCCATTTAATTGTATTAAAGTTGCAGTTATCATAATCTAATAAAATCATTAGTTATGAAACGAAAAAATTCTGCTTCTTATGCTAATAACAGTTATGAATACCCGTGTAAAGTGTACAATAATTTGCGGATTTAATTAAATTTGAACAATAATTGAGTCGATGTGTTGCTGTTTGTTGTTTCACTCCCGCATCACAATTCAAATGATGATTAAGTTTATGAAAGCCTTTATAACGGTGTCCCTGATCTCAATCACAATCACATCAGACCTACTCTACTCTTTTCTGCCACTCAATAACAACACATAACATAACCAAACGGTTAGTAGTCGTTACCAATGCTATAGTTTTTTGCCATTTCATCGCTAATCCTATTATTCTTTAAGAATTAGGAAGTTTTGCTAAACATTTATTCAAATTGTGTTTGTCTTACAAACTAATTATCGCTTATTTATAATCCGTTTTGAAATTAATATTTACTTTTTTCAGAGATATTTATGTTGTTTTTTAAAAATAGCAAACTTTGTAAACTCGTATTTGATTCAATTACATGTTTATTGTTTTGCGTGTAAAAAATATTTTTTTCTAATTGAATTTCAAGGTATGTTACGAAGCATTTAATTGTTTACAAGTCTCTAATTATATCGTAATTATATTAAATAAGTGCATGTTTTGTTATGATAAATATAGAGAATTTTTGTCAATAACCTGGGTTAAAAAAGACGTTTTTCCTTTAGAATAAAAACAAAAAGAAAAACAATGTAAAAAGATTTTTCAAAAATGAAAATTTAAAATAAAGTTGATGAATTTGACAAACAATTTATTAGTATTTCTATCGACAGCTCTCTGACACCGATGTTCACTACTTTCGGTTCGTTACAAATGAGACATAACTTCAGTAAAAATATATTCATTTTGAACTCAAAACCGATTCATACGAAAGCGGCGAACAATGACTAAACTCGCGGCCGATCCTACAAAGTGCGACAATTGTGTCGATGATAGGGAACCGCTCGACAGTCAACAGGAGTTGATACTGAAGATCATTAAAGACAAGTTCAATGAATGCAATGAATTCAGAAACAGTGACATCGAATCGGACAAAGAAAGTGTCAAATATTGCTGTGTCTGCAAGAAGTTTATACCGGAGTTTCATAAATATAAGCTCAAAGACAGCGTTAATCCGACCAATACTTACGGAACTATTAATCCGGTGGTTGTTATCAACATCTTTAAGGACGAGGACGCCGATCACATCCCAATCGGTGGTGTGATTAATGAGGCTTTTCTTAACAACGAAGACGACACTCGGTTTGACTTAAGAATAATCCCTGAAGTGGACGAAGAATATCAGAGCGACCCGACCCTCGAGAGACCCGCGTCCAGAGGGGACACACCTTTCGGGCATTCAGACAAATGGAGGACTTCGTCGAAGAGGTCAATGGTGTCCATGAAGTCTCACAACTCAACTCAATTGCGAACAATGACTCCATCGAGACGAAGATCATCGGCCATCACATCAAACTCCAGCGAAAAGCGAAGAGAAAGCATCCGGAATATGCTCTTTGGAGACCCGGAGCTCTCACTCCGGAGGTTCAGTCAAGACATCCGAAGTACTGTCAACGAGGAGAAGAAATTGAGCGATGAGTACGAGACGTATAAAGTGATATTCCTCCAGGTCTTTGTGCCATTTCTCATCGCAGGTATACATTGATTGAGAATTTTGTGATAATAATAGTTTATAATGAATGCAATGAATTGAGGTTTTGGTAACGTTGGCGCCGGACTTATACTCGATTACGTCCAGCACTGGGATGTCTTTCAATCGGTGTCCGAATTGTTTATTTTGATCGCTTCGTAAGTTTTTAAAATTAATTTAAGTTTATTATATTAAAGCCATCTAGGAAGATTTGTCAAAAATTTACAGCTATTTGTAAACTTGTCTACCAATAGACATATTTTCTATAGAATCGAGACATTTTCCACAAAATTTGAATTTAAATGAACAATTATGTTAAATTAAAAATTTTTATATGTGGAACCATGTTAATCATAAGTATATTTTTATTGGACTATATCAAAGATTATAGAAGCTCGGTGAAATGTAAAATATACAATTTAAAGATATTTGGTGTCATTTCAAAGTTAATACCTTTGTTATTTAATTTGTATACTTTCCATTTTACCCAGTTACTATACTATGAGCTGTAACTATGACCTACGTATTAGGCCAAAGTTATTTTTATAGAAATACAAGCCTCACCAAGGTGTTTAGAAGGCCAATAAAAATATTTTAAATTTTAAACATCATTTAAAAAATAAAGATATTGTATGTACTGTATATTGCATAGTGTAGAAATAAAAATCATAAAACTTGATAAAATTGTTCACAACCTTATTAATGAAAATGATAAAATTATTGCAGATTTCTGGGTTTTAAAGGCAATTTGGAGATGACATTAGCGGCACCTGACAGGTGAGTCCGGTTGGACCCATTGGACCTATTCGGCACAGTTGTCACCCCTTACCCTCACCCTTTATAGTAGGACTAGGTTACGGTCCGTTATCACCACCGAGATAACCGGCGTTATAAACGCATATTAGTGAACATCGCGAAGGACTGGGAGTTTCAGACGGACCACTGTCTGCTCATATGCGCCACGAGTCTCATCACGGCGTCGGTCACCGGCTTTTTTCTGGCGACTCTCATGATAGCCGTCGTCATAATGGCGCGTAAGGCGGGCGTCAACCCCGACAACTGCAGTACACTAATCGCCGCCTTTTTGGGCGACATATCGGCGGTCGTGATGTTAGCCGGCACAGCCAAACTGCTATTCACGGTGCGCCACATCCAGTGGATTGCGCCCACGTTTATCGTCATATTCGTAGCGCTGCTACCGTTCCTCATATTCATCGCTAAGAATAACGAATACACCAGAGATTTGATTGACAAGGGATGGTATCCCATCATTATAGCCATGTTCATCTCGAGCATCGGTGGCTTTATATTTGATTTCGCGGTCAGTGTTTTCGAGACCATCGCTATATTCCAGCCCATAATCAATGGTGTAGGCGCTAACTTAGTGGCTGTTCAGGTCTGATATCGGACTTTCCTAATGAATCTAATGAATTGTGTTTACAAGTTATGTAATGTCTATATATTGTGTACACTTTGTGTTCAGGCGAGCAGGATATCCACGTATTTGCATCAGAGGTGCGCTTTGGGTGAAAAACCTCCGACCAGTTGTAAAGTGAATACAAATATCTGTCAATTACCTCATAATGTGTTTGTGGGCTCCAGTGAGTAATTAATCTTTATTTGGTTCTCTAATACAATATATTATATTATTAATCATATTTTCCCTATTTATTTAACATTTCGTACATTAGATACGAATGTGAGGACTGCGAGACTTTTATTGATTATGGCAGTACCAGGGCATATTATTTATTTGATTACTATAAGACTCATACAATGGGATGATGTGACCCTTACAGTGCCATTTGTGAGCACCTATTTATTGGTGGCTGTCATACAAGTGTCCATTCTCTTATACATCGCTCACGTTTTAGTACCTTTTCTATGGAGTAAGAAAATTGATCCTGATAATAGTGCCATACCTGGTCAGTTACAATTGAAATTATATTAAAATATTAATATTTTGTGTATTCAATACTAATATAAATTAATTTGTAGGCATAATCCGTTGCCCTCTAGACTATCCTTGCCGTAATAATTGCTAGCGAAAGTACCAAAATCAGTCAAAACCACTAGGTTTACGTCAGTTATTTGTCTAATTTCTTATATATTGTATTGATAAGTGAATTTACAAAATTCTTATTTTATGCAAAAAATCATTTGTTGTAAATATGTCTCACATTTATTTGAGCAATGTGTTATTTAAATATTTTATTATAACTCTAATCAAGAAATACAATCAATTAATCTGTATTTCAAAGTTTTCATAAAAATATATACTATTTATTTAATATTGTAGCTAATGTGATATTTGGATAAATGTAAACAATTAATAAATATATTAATTAACAGGAATATTATTTGTATTTTATATGTATTCATTTATATTTAAGTAAGATAATACTCTTAAGTGTAAGCAATTCATAAGTAATTTTGTTTAATTGTTTACTTTGATTTAAGCATTTATAAATCGATAATAACTATTTATATAGCTATTTTATTTTTTATTATTATGTATTTACGAGAAAATTCACTGAAATCATTAAAAAGATCGTTATTATCATAATAGGCAACGGGAGATCTGATAGGAACGGCATTATTAACGATCGCTTTCATGGTTTTAGTCAGTTTTGGTGATCCAAATGCAGTCAATAAACAGATTAAAGAATATATAACATAACTATTCACTTAAATGGAAATTCTTATTTTATGCAAAAAATCATTTGTTGTAAATATGTCTCACATTTATTTGAGGATTGTGTTATTTAAATATTTTATTATAACTCTAATCAAGAAATACAATCAATTGATCTGTATTTCAAAGTTTTCATAAAAATATATACTATTTATTTAATATTGTAGCTAATGTGATATTTGGATAAATGTAAACAATTAATAAATATATTAATTAACAGGAATATTGTTTGTATTTTATATGTATTCATTTATATTTAATTAAGATAATACTCTTAAGTGTAAGCAATTCATAAGTAATTCTGTTTTATTGTTTACTTTGATTTAAGCATTTATAAATCGATAATAACTATTTATATAGCTATTTTATTTTTTATTATTATGTATTTACGAGAAAATTCACTGAAATCATTAAAAAGATCGTTATTATCATAATAACTTATTATGTACTATATGCACTTATAGGTAATGATTTCTTAGAACTAAATAAGAGCTCAATATATCAATAAAATCTACCTGTGCTCTACTCATACTCGCTATCCAGATATAGTTACCTATCAAAATATCACTATTGACTTGAGCATTTGAAATGCAATGTTTTAAACTGAAACATTCTGTACTTCAAAGTTAATGTCAACTATTAAAGTGAACTTCACTTCAATTATCAAATAAAACATTAAAACTATTTTACTCACGAGTCGGTATAATATTGTATAATAAATGTCGAAATTTTGTTTAAAAATTATTTATTGGAAACTTGAAAAATAAGAAAAATAGTTTATTTGAATCGTCTTTCAACGTATAGTAGTCTCATGGGTCGCATAAAAACATTTTTGAATGACGTTTAAAACGACTCTCAAATAAATAGCAAATCAATTGAATTGAGTGAAAGTGAAGCTAAAAGTTAATGTTTTTTGAGAGCATAAAAAGCAAGTGAATCAGTGAAACAAAATTGAACAGTGAAATCATTAGATCTTATTTATTGTGTGACAAAAAACATATAAAAAATAATATTTATGGACTTTATCGGCAAATCAACAAAAGTTTCCAAAAACTATACAAACAGGTATGCATTTGTCTCAATCGTCTCACAGTTTTTGACACAAATGTTCATTGAATGACTGAATGACAGCACAATTATTAGTATAGAATCTGTACATTACTTATCATATTATTTAGATAAACGATTGAATACTTTTGTTTTTTAAAATGACAATTCAAACAAACATTTTTTTAGAATTTAACATGCTACTGATATGTCTTAAAATGGTTTCTAATAAAAATATATTGTTTTTTGTTTCGACAGTGTTGTTCATTTTGTAAATTTTTGCTCAAATAGTTTGAATTTAGTACAAATTCAGTGCTAAATACAGTATTTATATATCTCATCAAAATAAGTGATAATTATCTACATAATAATAATCAAGTTAAATATTGTATTTGTTTTTAATTATTAATGTTCATTTTTCATATATTACTATTTATTTAACACTGAAAGTAATTTTGGACATAGTATATAATTGTGTCATTTGGTTTCTGATTACAATCTAATACAATGTAATCATCTACTTTACCTAATGTAAATTTTAGGTTATATTAATATAACAAATACAGTATTATAATTGTTTTAACACTTTGTCTAACTCACAAAGTTTATAAATAATTTACAAGTAATAAGAGTACAAAAAAAATGATATAATACGAAAAAAGTTAAATAAACTTCAATAGAAATATAAAGTCCACGAAAGATATGAAAAGTGAATACAACTCGAAGAGACCAAAGTGTGATGAACTCAAAGACGATGTTTGAATGCAATTATTTGCCATAAAACCCAAAATTTGATGATAATTTGTCGCTCTAATAATAGCTATTTGATTAAATACTTGAAACTAATGTCTTTGTTTGCAAATGACAGATAGGATGATAGGGCAAACATTATTGAAATGGCTTTTAATCGCATAATTTGTTCCCCTATTTTGCCAATTCATTTAATCAATGCTAATTGAAGCCTCAAAAATCAATTAATATAATGTCAATAGACTTCTGGTGAGACCTCATAAGTGCCACAAATACAATGATTAATTTTGGTGAAAATCTCATACTATTTAGACATTTTAAAAACTGTTTATGAATTATTGAATTAATTTATCAAATAAATGTATTACTCGAGTGTTGCTAAGGGTTTCATATGACTTCACATAAGGGTCTTATTTTATAGTTTTTATATTTGGCATAATTTTTGATATGATTTGAATAATTGAAATAGCTTTCTATTTCATGTGAGTTTTAAAAATTATATTTATATATAAATAATATCCTCGTATACATTTACATAAAATATTAATATAAAACATAAAATTGCATTTCAAAAACGATACTCTCGTTTGCGTAGTAAACACTTATCAAACGTTTGAAACAATACTAATCATAAGTTTTTATTTTGAAAACTTTAGAAATAAAATATATTCTTTGAACACCAGGTTCAAGTAATTGTTTCTTGAATTTCATGTAATGTGAACCCAATATGTAAACAAAATAAGATGTGATTCTCTCACAAAATCCTTTTTATCGCATTTCACTGAAATAATAAGTCAAACAATAATTACTACACTATTGCTTAATTAGACAACAATTATTAATTGAAAACAAATCAGCACTTAATAGGTATCAGGCGTTCACTTAATGTTCAGTGCAATACAATATAATATATGCTCATATTATGATAGACAGTGCCTATTAGGCACCGGTATTATGATACTGTATATTCCTTGAGAAACCTTGTATTTTGACATTCATTTCATAATTTGAATGTTTTTTGAATTGAATTCAAAATATTTGGATTAACCTGACAAACAAATTGTGAGAGTAATAGTTATAAATAATTATGTGTTAGAAATTATGACAAACAAAAAAGTACTTAAAACGGTATAAAGTTTACTGATAACTAACTTTGGAAAAAGTTTATAAGTTATAACTGGTTTCATATATTATGTCAGAGTGTGATATTTAAATACTTTTCTGAAGTTAACCCATTATTTCTGGTTTTGATTATTTGATTAATCGTATAGTATATCAATCAATGTGTGAAATAATACATACAGTTATATAAATGACAAATAATTGTTTCGATACTAATTGTCATAAATAAAAAGTTGTTGCATTTTAATAGGAATTGACTTGTTTTGCAAATTCTTATCACATTACCGTATATTATATTATAAATTATAGCAAATAATCAGTGATTTTTGAAGTGCTATTCAGTCCTGTCTTCACTGGAAAAGTTGTTTGAGGTTTACGTCATCTAAAACTCAATAAATATATTAAAAATATGGTTTTAGTCGGAAATTGTTTCCTTTGATTTTTGTGTCTATAAAACAAGTTTTTTTTGTAGTTATTCCTGACGTATATTACATTCTTAAAACAATATTTTCTGAATTTTCTGAAATCAATAGCTTATAAGAATAATTGTCATGAATATATTATATTATAGTCATGAAAATGAGAGATAAAAATAAAATTCATTATAAATTACACACCAAAACAAAGCATAAAAATAATGGCTTTCTCAGAGAGTGAGACTAGACTCTTAAACTATAATTATAATGAATATTCTGGAAACATATGTATGGAAAAAACACAATTTCATTGGCATTACGTTTGGCACAGAATTTCAAACTTTGGGTGAAATGTGTGAACAAAATGTTTGGCAGAACTGTACGATAGGGCGGACCTTCGCTCCATTAGCTGTGTATAGAGATCCAAGTGTAGACACACACAGAATCTGTGGCACATGTACTCAATACAGTATTAAGGGGGGAACGGGAGGAATGGCACCAGAATATCCATGTTTGCAAAAAAACTGCTTAAAAAGTCTTACGATAAGGAAGTGTTACTGTATTATCAATTAAATTGTGTACATATTTAGTGTGCGATTACATGACAATGAGAGTGCAATAGCTTTACGGCACGAGTAGGGGAACGGGTTGTGCGCGAATGGATACATCCAGTGGGATAGGGATGTAAGGGATGTATGAGATGTATGTATGCGTACGGAATGCTGGCACCGGTATTCATACTGAACTCTAGTCTCCCTCTCCCCACAGCATTACATATACAGTGTGTATGTGTTGTGCAATGAGTTGCAGGCATTCACTCATTGAATGCATTCGCGTATAAGACTCGCAGTCTTACAGTCGACTCAACCATTCATTTCACACTTGTTTTGATGTTTTTGTTTGAAAAGTGAACACAAAAAGCAATTATCATTAATACTGGCCTTTAATACGGTTTGTAATCAATTGTACATTTCCTATCACTTCACTGTAATATCAATGAAACCAATATTTGGTGTCATTTGAGACCCAATTACTAGCCGTTTGTTTGCGAAGACAAATGGTTTACATTTGCCTTACGTTTCCGTTTCTCTTATTTATTTCATTTATTTTTTAAATGCCTTTTAGTTGTAATCAATGAAAACACGATAATCTATACGATTATGTAAATAGCGTTAAATAATGAGTACATATATAATGGCAATTAACTAATCCAGTGAATAGTCATTACATATATGCCGTAAAATAAGGTGAAAAATATTTTGCTATAAAATCTCGTTTCAAAACTCCGATCGCTTTCGCAAAGCATTTGTTAATGTGTTTGTAATATCTAATCATTAATACATTTATATCTAATTAATAGTCAGTTTTGTTTTGAATATAGTCTCACTTTTTTTTAATAAACACGGCATTTGATATGACTACTTAAAACAAACGGTGTATTTGTGCTAGTATCTATTTTGTTTAATAAATATTAGTGATTTTAAATAATTGTTTTAATGGTTTGAATGATGTGTTAATTAGGAGATGAATACGTCTGGTCTTGAAAGTGGAGATTCAATTGAAAAGCCTTACAGTCAGGTCTGTATCCATACATACATTTGTATCCATATATTCATCGCGTATACTATTGTATCTCTGTTTGATTTAATCGTTTAGTCCACTATTATATTGTAGTTTAGACATTTTTATATATTATAACAAAGTTATAGATTTAGACAAAATACAAGGAAACTAGTGATCAGTTTTTAGTCAGTTTTTTATATACATTTAAAACAAACAGTATTTTTAGCTATACCGTAGTACTGTTTTTTTTAATTACCAGTGAAGTTATCGTTTCCTACAAATGTTTTTTGTTAGTTAGAAAATAATAGAAATAAAATTTTATTGATTAGTTTATCGACTATTTTACTTATATATTTGATTTATATTGGATACAAATAGTACTGTTATATGAAGTAATAACTGAAATTAAATTGTATGAACAGGGCTTCAAAGTCCTTTCAAAAAGCGCTGAAATCGTATCGCGTGAATACTGCAAACAAGACTACCGTTCCTCAAAGGGGTTGCCAGTAGTTGCCAACCAATACACCCAATACTGTCGAAGTGATATAATTGTCGGCGATTTTGGACTCAATCCAATTGAGCTCAAGGCAAGTGCTCGCAACCAGTTCTCCATCTCTGGTTTTACTCCACTTTTAATTATATATTAGTTTTTTTAATCGGCTTTTGTGTCGCAAAATGCTCTCTTCATTCACAGTCTTTAGTGAAACAATTGATTTGCGAAAACCAATCGTTGAATGCATTTTAATCTATGAAACGATCGATTCGTGAGCTCTTCAAGCATTTAGTCATTTAATTACAGAATAAATACACAAATCATTGAATTAATTGCAGAAATCTTATCGCACTTTGCATTCATTCTGTACATTGAGATGCATTTATACTGTAATACACTCTTATGATCGACTAATCACTGAATCACAACATATGACACTCAAATGCAAAACTCTTACCCAAAGTTTTTCACTTTTGTTAAGCCAAACATTAATAAAAATTAAATTTTTTTCATTAATTATCTTTATATCAGACTATGAGTGCAGTCGCAGATAGACTTCAAACCATTGACGACAATGAATTGCTATAATATCCTCGATTGCACTCAACATTATTTTCAACTATAAAATGCATTCAATTCCGTCAATCGTTGCTAAAGCTATGAATGTCTTATTACAAGCATTTCTGGCGTTTAACATAATTAACAAAATTGCCATAATTTACAAAACAAATGCAAGTTTGCTGTCATCTGTGTATTTCTCTTACAGGTCTTGCAGAGGGTTTAAACACAAGACTTTAGATACATATATAAATGTAAACTAAGTCTCAAATAACCGTCACTTCAAACCAATTTAATATTTTAATAAATTCATAATCGGATGTAAATAACTAGTGAAAATATTATTTATTTTTGGGTAGTATTAGTCGTATTATATAATTCCTCAATTTATGGGCTAATCATTAGGTAAGCAATGAATTAATTGTTAAATAAATTCATTTATTAATTTATATTTTGTACACTTACTACAGATTTTCTAAATCGATAATAATTTTAATATAATTGCATTCAAAGAACCGATTGTTTGCTCCAAATATAAGTATTAAATAGCAATGGATTCGCAGAGAAAGCAGTTTTATTTGGGAGACGACGTGATGCCGACCGTCTCATCAGTAGAGATAGTGATCGACGAGTCCAGCGATGGCTACACCCGTGCCGACGCCACAATACCCGTGTCGGACACTGTCTTTGATTACAATGACTGCAAGAAGTATTGCTTCTATAATAACGAGTGTCTCAACGGAGCCATCACTCCGGAGTCGAAGAACTCATCCAACGCTTCGCTCATATCGTCGAACAGTACCGCAAAAGATATGGACTTTACAACCCTCCAGACGATCGTCGAGAGAGCCATTCCTCCGAAGCCAGACTCACCCACATCTTCGCCACCCTTTGGAATCAGTATTAACCGCGAGGAGGCTTTACTTTCGACGAGTGTCCAGATCTTCATCGCATTCATGATCGCCGGCTTCGGGAACGTTGGCGCCGGTCTTATACTGGATAACGTCCAGCACTGGACTGTGTTCGTGTCGATCACCGAGATGTTTGTGTTGGTGCCCTCCCTGTTGGGCCTCAAGGGCAACCTCGAGATGACAATGGCTGCCCGCCTGTCCACTCACGCAAACTTAGGCAATATGCAGAACTGGAAGCAGACCCTGAAACTGGCCAAAGGCAACATAGCTCTGGTCCAATGCCAGGCCACTATCGTCTCGTTTTTGGCCGCCATTATCGCTATGATCTGGAGTGCGTTCGGGAACGGTATCGTTCTGAGCAACTGTCTAACCCTATTGGCCAGCAGTTTGATTACGGCTAACGTGGCCTGTTTTGCGCTCGGTTTGTCATTTCACACCCCTTTCCACTCGTTGTGACGTTTGTTATACTGATTGTATGTTTCACTCGTTAGGTTCGTGTATGATATGTATAATCGTGTTCTGCGATAAGATCCGAATAGATCCCGGTTTGTATGCAACACCTGTTATCTCACTCTCGAGTAGTGTTTTAATCATATGATTGTTTGCCACCATAGACAACATCGCAACGCCTATCGCCGCCAGTTTGGGAGACGTGACCACAGCCGCCCTATTGGCCTGTTTCGCGCAACTCATCCATAACCACACGTCCGACGCCAACGCCACCCAATTCCCGTACATCGCTATCTCTATTATACTGTTTTTTATGGCACTTCTGCCGCTTTGGCTGTATTTGGCCGCAAAGAACGAGTACACCAGAGATGTGGTGACCAGTGGATGGTATCCTGTGATCGCAGCGATGATGATCTCAAGTTGTGGCGGATTTATACTCGACTACGGAGTTCTTGTCTATAAGAGAATCGCTTTATTCCAACCCATTATCAATGGGTATGTCTCGTGAATGTGACTGTATTTTATTGATGTGTAATTACCGTATGTTTTGTGTTGATGACAGTGTCGGAGGCAATTTGGTGGCCGTTCACGCGAGCCGTATATCCACATCACTGCACAGGTATGGAAAGCCTGGCGTTTTGTTCCCGGGTTTCCAAGCGTTCACATCACCCATTCAGGCCTTCTTCACCAACAAAGGTATAGTTGAATGAATGGTTTGCTTCGGGAAAACGTGTCGCTGACTTGTGTTTACCCTATTTTCAGACATGAATATAAAGACATCTCGAATACTACTACTGATGGCACTGCCGGCACACATCCTCTACATTGTGGTGATCCGACTGATCGACGGAAGCGATAAAATGCAATTAACGACCCCTTTCTTCGTGTTCTATCTGTTCTTTGCGTTACTCCAGGTATTCATCACTTTTATGATCCATTAGTTTAGTACCGTAGTTATGTTTCGAGACACAAGCCTATCGTCCAAATGTATGACAATTATTCAAATGTTATTATTGTTTGAGTTGTGTTTTTGATGGTGTGATGAACCACTCGAACAATGATTGACAGATGAGTTGTCCTCACCTGAAGAGTCCGAAACATATCCCAAAATACTCATTGATTTCTAAGTCGAGAATTAATGTGTTATTTGTTCAAAAGGTATCGCTATTGCTATATATGGCGTACAATTTGGTTCATATCCTATGGCTAAAAGAGATCGATCCCGACTCGTATGCAATTCCTCTGTTGACATCATCGGGTGATTTCTTGGGCTCTGCTTTTCTACTAATAGTTTTCCGCATATTGTCTCTCATAGGAGACCCGAACTCTGTTAAGACAGTCAACGGCTAGACTTTTTCGCGATAACTTTTGGGGCGCTTTTCATATATATTTTAATCGATATATTGTTTTCGCTTTTAGTTTTGTTTAGTTTTGAATCTCTTTCGTATGAATTTTAACACAAAAAACAAGTAAAAATCCTCTATTTTGATCGATGTTTTAGAAAATCAAATGTAAACTCAATTTATTTCGTTATCTGATTGAATAAATTTTATTTTAATTTTTATCGTACACCTATTGACTACTTTTTTGTATCCAATCTATTGATAAGTTCGCTAAAAATCAATAATCGCTATAATTATAGCTTTTATTTTTCTTAGACTCTGTGTGTGTCTATCACTTGTACTCCAAGTCTCATGACAATAATTATGTGATAATCAAAATCACGACCGAATCTAATCTATAACTAGAAATGCATTACAAGAAAATTAGCTGAAATTCTAGACTCACTTTTGGCTACAATATTGTCCGAAGTATTTATTATGTTATTTGCTGTTTCAATCAATTATATCAACATTTGCTTTATTATGAACCGCAAAGCACTTGGATTTCATGTGAATACATAAGGGAAACATTTTTGATCACATTATTCTTGGAATTATCTGAAGAGTTGCCATAAGGTGTACCAGAATATAACAATCAAACATTTAGTTAGTTGTTAATAAAAATGATACTGTGGTAACTTTTATGTCTAAATATAGACAACATCCTATTTATTCGTTATATGATTGGCTATATTCTAGTTGTAAAAAGTGTACTCAATTTAATAGCTTTGAATTAGTGAGAGTTATTCAATAAATTTAATTGAATACTGAATCATTCTGAATGTCAGTCTGAATGATAAGTTTAATGAAAATAGTATTAAATCTAAATTTAAATTAAATCTCAAGTTNCTTTCTATAGAAAATTATTCATAAATTAGATTTCATACACAATAAGTGTAGTAAAGTGTAAAATAACTCCATACTCGACATGAAATTTAAATTAGAGTCAACATTTGTTAACAAATTAATCGCTAAAAAACTTTCGGTAACTTTATATTTGTTACATTTAATCTGATTAACACAAAACTTAAATAGAAATATCAATTAATGAAATTATTCTCTAAAATATTTATTATTTATGCTCTAATTATTGTAATTGATTTATAATTACATCCATTGGTATTAATTTGCANATTTGTTACATTTAATCTGATTAACACAAAACTTAAATAGAAATATCAATTAATGAAATTATTCTCTAAAATATTTATTATTTATGCTCTAATTATTGTAATTGATTTATAATTACATCCATTGGTAACAATTTGCAATATTATCAAATAATTAATCTCCATTGTGGACATGTTTATAATCATTCAACTAAGTATCACTGTAGTATCATAAGTTATTATCAAGTTATACACCGTATATAGATATTATTAATAACTTATTTGCAATATATTTGTCAACATTTTGCAACTAAAACACGTATAAATTATATTTCTGCATATTTAATTTTCTGATGATTTATGACTAGATAATAAACACCAAATTCAGAATATATAATTTCAATATTTACAAAAGTATACTGTAAGCTTAAACCTTAAGTTATTAAAACTTAAATAAAGTAAAAATTCTTAATTTTAAAAATAGATTTAATTAAAATTATTTTTCGAAAGTTTAATTGAATTCAAATTTTAATGAAGTTTCTGTTAGTTTTCAGATCCGGTTCGGTGGGCAAGAAATGTCTGCTATCCTACAATGTATTTAATTAATTGATGGCAAATGTATTGCTATTTAGGGACATTTGAAAAGGGATTAGGTTACTTTTACCATCTCCTGTAACCAATTTATTAACCATTTTACGAAATCATTAGTAATAATGCAACAAATGGCATATTTTGAGTAAATGCATATTTTGTTTATTTATTCAAGCAATACTGAAAGTTAATATTTGTCATCATAAAAGTTACTACTTTTCAAAACACAAACATTTCAAATAAATTTCTGTAGCAGTTACCATGGTTTTGCTTCAATCATAAGTAAATTTTTATATTTAAAAAATTAAATAATAAATGTTTCAATTATTTGTCAAACTTAATACTGTAGCTTTATATCAACTGTTGGAGCAATGGCTTTATAGCATTGTATTTGCATTTAATGCAAACTTGCTTGACTTACGCCCCACACAATGCGATTCTTGCATATAAAAGGGCTTTTCACTCATTCATTCACCACTATCATAATAACTATGACATATGGGAGTGTTTTAAAAACTCAATTGATATTTTTATTTTTATTGATAAATAATGAAATAAAATTTAAAATATTGAATAAAATAGAAATCTCATAATTTGCAAACAATGGCGTCAATAATCTTTGGCCAATGAGTTAACATAAAGTTGTCTTCACCGACGTCTTTACTCTCAACTGAAGAGGTCGGACACGAAGACATCAACTCATTCTTAACACACATCTCAATGACTCCTCTTATGTTTCAATTCTTTCATTTGGTCTCATTTTTACGACATATTCGCCAATCATATTACAGTATTGCATATATTGGTCGCTATTTATATACTGTATTTAGATTAAAAAAAATACTAACTGTTAATGGACAGACATTAACCAAATGTTTAAATGTACAGTAATATGAATTCTTTATCTAAGTTCTTAAGTATGGTACATTATGCCACTTATATTATACCTGTACTTATTCTTATAATGCAGTTAAGCACCTCTGGATATCAATTATGTAAGAGTTTCTATTTATTATCCACATTCTCATAGGTATCTCATATTTATCCTATCAGTAACTATAGCTTTATCTGATATTTATCATAAAACTTGAGATTTAATTTAAATTTAGATTTAATACTATTTTCATTAAACTTATCATTCAGACTGACATTCAGAATGATTCAGTATTCAATTAAATTTATTGAATAACTCTCACTAATTCAAAGCTATTAAATTGAGTACACTTTTTACAACTAGAATATAGCCAATCATATAACGAATAAATAGGATGTTGTCTATATTTAGACATAAAAGTTACCACAGTATCATTTTTATTAACAACTAACTAAATGTTTGATTGTTATATTCTGGTACACCTTATGGCAACTCTTCAGATAATTCCAAGAATAATGTGATCAAAAATGTTTCCCTTATGTATTCACATGAAATCCAAGTGCTTTGCGGTTCATAATAAAGCAAATGTTGATATAATTGATTGAAACAACAAATAACATAATAAATACTTCGGACAATATTGTAGCCAAAAGTGAGTCTAGAATTTCAGCTAATTTTCTTGTAATGCATTTCTAGTTATAGATTAGATTCGGTCGTGATTTTGATTATCACATAATTATTGTCATGAGACTTGGAGTACAAGTGATAGACACACACAGAGTCTAAGAAAAATAAAAGCTATAATTATAGCGATTATTGATTTTTAGCGAACTTATCAATAGATTGGATACAAAAAAGTAGTCAATAGGTGTACGATAAAAATTAAAATAAAATTTATTCAATCAAATAACGAAATAAATTGAGTTTACATTTGATTTTCTAAAACATCGATCAAAATAGAGGATTTTTACTTGTTTTTTGTGTTAAAATTCATACGAAAGAGATTCAAAACTAAACAAAACTAAAAGCGAAAACAATATATCGATTAAAATATATATGAAAAGCGCCCCAAAAGNATTTGTTACATTTAATCTGATTAACACAAAACTTAAATAGAAATATCAATTAATGAAATTATTCTCTAAAATATTTATTATTTATGCTCTAATTATTGTAATTGATTTATAATTACATCCATTGGTATTAATTTGCAATATTATCAAATAATTAATCTCCATTGTGGACATTTTTATAATCATTCAACTAAGTATCACTGTAGTATCATAAGTTATTATAAAGTTATACACCGTATATAGATATTATTAATAACTTATTTACAATATATTTGTCAACATTTTGCAACTAAAACACGTATAAATTATATTTCTGCATATTTAAATTCCTGATGATTTATGAATACATAATAAACACCAAATTCAGAATATATAATTTCAATATTTAAAAAAGTATAAGCTTAAACCTTAAGTCATTAAAACTTAAATAAAGTAAAAATTCTTAATTTTAAAAATAGATTTAATTAAAATTATTTTTAGAAAGTTTAATTGAATTCAAATTTTAATGAAGTTTCTGTTAGTTTTCAGATCCGGTTCGGTGGGCAAGAAATGTCTGCTATCCTACAATGTATTTAATTAATTGGTGGCAAATGTATTGCTATTTAGGGACATTTGAAAAGGGATTAGGTTACTTTGACCATCTCCTGTAACCAATTTATTAACCATTTTACGAAATCATTAGTAATAAGTCAACAAATGGCATATTTTGAGTGAATTCATATTTTGTTTATTCAAGCAATACTGAAAGTTAATATTTGTCATCATAAAAGTCACTACTTTTCAAAACACAAACATTTCAAATAAATTTCTGTAGCAGTTACCATGGTTTTGCTTAAATCATGAGTAAATTTTTATTATTTAAAAAATTAAATAATAAATGTTTCAATTATTTGTCAAACTTAATACTGTAGCTTTATATCAACTGTTGGAGCAATGGCTTTATAGCATTGTATTTGCATTTAATGAAAACTTGCTTGACTTACGCCCCACACAATGCGATTCTTGCATATAAAAGGGCTTTTCACTCATTCATTCACCACTATCATAATAACTATGACATATGGGAGTGTTTTAAAACTCAATTGATATTTTTAGTGATAAATAATGAAATAAAATTAAAAATATTGAATAAAATAGAAATCTCATAATTTGCAAACAATGGCGTCAATATTCTTTGACCAATGAGTTAACATAAAGTTGTCTTCACCGACGTCTCTACTCTCAACTGAAGAGGTCGGACACGAAGACATCAACTCATTCTTAACACACATCTCAATGACTCCTCTTATGTTTCAATTCTTTCATTTGGTCTCATTTTTACGACATATTCGCCAATCATATTACAGTATTGCATATATTGGTCGCTATTTATATACTGTATTTAGATTAAAAAAAATACTAACTGTTAATGGACAGACATTAACCAAATGTTTAAATGTACAGTAATATGAATTCTTTATCTAAG